AAAATGATTGGCAACATAGTAATCAACAATCTACACCTTAGAGCACAAAACAAATGTGTGTGACTGACTTCTGCTGCTTTAAGTGTATATTAGTATATCCCTTGATTGGTTGGAGGATTCTGGAGGGAAGGGAAGGGGACACGTGATATTTACTCTATTACTCAATTCTTACAATTAGATGGTTGGAGAGACAGTGAACATCAAAAATTAAATGGACATGAACTATTGAAATTAAAATATACTACCTCCACCCTTAAATAAATGTCCTGGGTCGACTTTCACGGTGTTTAAGAAGAAATGAAATTATATGGTAGAGGTTTATACAAAAGAGAAAAATAATGTGAACCACTCATTTCTTAAATTAAATGAGACATTTTTAAGGGACAACTGAAAAAGGAAAGTAGGACGTTTATTTAGGGGGAGTAGTTATTTTCACCCTAAGACTTACAAATAGCAATAAATTAGTACAACAAAAAGTAACCCCCCCTCAAAAAGCCTCAACCAAACAATCCCTTACTTCGAGTATTTAGAGCTCTTTGTCAACAAGATAGTGTACTGAAGCGCACTTCTACACCTATGTATTTAAGACAAATTCCATCTCCATTTTCTCATATATTTTCTTGAAGAAAGCTTATGAGAGGCGAATATTAATTTAGGAGCAAGTGTCAACTTAATTTTGAGTAATTTAACAATCCTTTTCAGATTAATACACATATACCCAATGCCACAACTAAATTGTTGGAAGACCCACATAATTTAGTTCTTTACCAGTTAATAAAAAACAAATGCACATAGACATGAGATGAAACACAATAACTCAAATAGAGAAAGGAAATAGTATTCACAATCTTCATGGAGATAAGCTATTCCGCGAGCAGCACCCATGGCAATCTTTAAACGTGTTGGCCAATTCATAACTGCGCCCCCATTTCCTGCAAATGGAAAGGGCAACACACAGGATTACTAATCGAGCAAGAAAATCAATTCTTAAAATTTGAAAACTAAATGACATCTTCCGGAAAAGAAAGACATCTACCATGAAGATGGAAATGAAGGGTATCATTAGGGACATAATCGTAAACGAGGAGTCTTTTGTTCTCAGAGATGCAATAACCAACTAGAGAGACCAAGTGGCGATGATGAATACGGCTTATGGTTTCGACCTCTGCTCTGAATTCACGGTCACCCTGTCCTCCCCCAATTTTTAATTGTTTTACTGCTACCACTGTCCCGTCTCCAAGGTATCCTTTGTACACAGCACCAAACCCACCTTCGCCCAAAAGGTTTTGTTCTGCAAAACCATTAGTTGCCTCCTCTAGTTCTTCATACCTAAACCATGACCGTGAATTTCCAAATGCACCATGTTCCCTCGGTGAATTAACAAACTCATTGCCAGAACCACCTCCTGAACCATATGCTAATGCTTGCACCTTTAAAATGGCAGAATCTGCACAAATGTCACAGTTTTTCTAAAATTGTATTTCAAAGACCAATTCATGTACTCCCGCTGTTCCCAAAAAAAGAGTCCTATTTGAGTAAGGTACAATTTTTGTTTCTAGTAAACTCAATCAAGGTACAAGATTTTACAAGTTGCTATGAATAGCCACTTATTATACCTTGAGGAGATTGAGTCTTCAAGGGTTGGAATAAAAAAGGAGTTGAGAGATGATGTCAAGTGTTTAGTTTGTATCCGGAAATAAAAATAGGGTTGTAGCTCGACGGCAAAGCTTGACTGACGTTGTTCTGCTGGTGGCAGTGGCATCATGAGCAATAGTGGTTCAGTTGAGAATGAAGGCATCAAATATTTGTGTTAGAATAGGTTTCCAACCCAAAGGAGTTGGGGTATGAGGGATAGGTTTGGTGGGGTTTCAACAGTGGATTTTGGAGATTTTTTTTAACCACACAACAGATACTCCATTTAAAATCAAACACGTTCTATATTAGGTGTGTTTTCAATATTGTTTGGAGTAATTAACTAAAACTGCTTGCTGCTTGGCTTTGTGTGAATTTTACTTTTTAAAATTAAATTTGATTCTCAAAACCAAACTTGATCTTAGGAAAAAACTTAAAAAAGTCCTTCAAGCAGGGCTTTTCTTTTGGGATGGAGGGAGCAATATTGCAAAACAGTGCACAAAAGATGCTTATAGGAATTCAAATCTATGGATTTAAGAGACGAATGATACAAAAGCTTTTTATAATTTACCAGATTTGGGAGAAGAACCCAGAGAGGCTGGCAAAATATAGCCACCAGTCAGTCCATAAGCCTTTTTCTTACGCTTCCATATGCACCATCCTGCTACTCCAATAACACCAAGCAATAGAAGGCCAAGTGCTAAGCCAACAGCTACAGTCCCTCCGGTACCAATACCCCCACCATCATTACTAGAACTATTGTTAGAAGGTTTACTTGAAGGAGGAGATTGGGGTGGTGACAATGGTACTCTTCCTTCTGGTGGGCGTCCTGCTTGTGGACTAGGTGGTGATGGGACAATATTTGGGGTTCCCGGAGGCTTATTAGAGGGTACTGATGCTGGCGGAGCGGGTGAACTTCTTGGAGGGTTGGTTTCTGGAGATGGCGGTGTACTCTGGGGTGGCTTGGATGGTAAAGGTGGAGTTGAATTCTTAGGCGGCTCAGCTGTTGGTGTTGGAGGGGAACTTTGAGGTGGCTTAGATGATGGTGGTGGCTGAGTAGAGGGTGGAAGCGGGGTGACAGGAGAGTTTGAGGGCGGTGAAGTCCCATTTTTTGGGGGCTCGACATGGGGTGGAGGACTAGATGTATGAGGCAGTGGTGGTGGTGGTGGTGAAGTAGCCGGAGGATCAGAAGGCGGTGGCAGTGAACTAGCTGGAGGATCAGAAGGTGGTGGGGGTGAAGTAG